TAGGGTTGAAGGATGTGGGCAGTACCAGTGGCCATCAGGAACCCAGGCTCTGTGACCACCCAGCCTCAGCTTGAAGCATTGTTGTCCTGTAATTTGGCTATGTGAGTCCAGTCAGCCCGACTTTCATCTCTGCTGTGTGTGGTGATGATGAAAAGACCCATGCTGGGGGGCTGGAGAGATGGCTCAGAGGTTAAGAGCACTGGCTGCTCTTCCAGAAGTCCTGAGTTCAATTCCCAGCAACCACATGGTGGCTCATAGCCCTCTATAATGAGACCTGGTGCCCTCTATTGGCATGCAGGTGTACATGCAGTCAGCACATGGTAAGCAAAAGGAGAAAATATAGCTGTGTACCACATGCTCCCAGGGGTTACTTCTGAGTTGTGTGATACCTTGAACCTTTCTATATCTTTTCATTTATATACAAGTGTATGCACTAAAAAAATAAAACCAAGGATGCTGATTTAAGGGAGGAGGAGAAGACAGTGACTGCAACTAATAGTGTGAATCTTGCTTCTCAGGGCCTCAGATGAAGCTGAAAGAACAGTTGGTACCCAATGACCTTTTCCTAGTATCAAGAACTACTGTGTCAATTGGTCCCCATAATATCATAGGAAGGGGCACTATTAGGAGGTGGGGCTTTGTTGGAGTGGGTATGGCATTGTTGGAGGAAGTATGTGGATGTGGGGGCGGGCTTTGAGGTTTCCTATGCTCAGGATAAGGCCCAGTGAGTCAGTCGGTTTCCTGTTGCCCACAAGATATATGACTAGCAGCTACATCTGTCTGAACACTGCCATGCTCCCTGCCATGATAATAATGGACTGAACTTCTGAAACTGTAAGTAAGCCACTCCAATAAAATGTCTTCTTTGTAAAAAAAAAAAAAAGAACTACTGTGTCTAAGCAGACATTACTGACATTCTGACTGTATAGTTGAGTGAGTCAAGGCACAAGAGACGGAGTGACTGTGCCAAAGGCCATACACCCAGAATTTGCCTCTGAGCTGGATATTCTAAAACAGTAGTTCTCAACCTGTGGGTTGTAATCCCTTTGAGGGGATTGAATGACCCTTTAACAGGAGTGCTCATATGAGATATTCACATTACTATTCATAACAGTAGCAAAATTACAGTTATGAAGTAGCAACAAAAATAATTTTATGGCTGGGAGTCACCACAACACAAGAATGGCAACATTAGTATTCTGGAAGGCCTTGCTGGTCAGAGGTTGCAGTCTATCATGGCCTGGCAGCTCTCTCTCAACAACATGGGGACTGACTCCCTCTTTGGTGAGACGTCCTACTCTCTACCTGCCTTTATCTGGAGACTGCCCCTGGATGCCTGGTTCATCTGCTAGAAGCATTTCCCCTGCTGCACATAACTAAGACTTGCACTAGGAGCTTTGCTAAAGGACCCTACTGCCACATACAAAGCCTTATTATAGGAGCCTGCCACTTAATGCAAATTAGGTGGTGCTCCAGCCACTGTCCCCAGCCTTTATATTGCCTTTTCTTCCGGGAATAAACAGGAATTGTTAACACTTAGACTGTCTCCCCAGAGCTGTCTCACAAGCCATCTGACCCTGCTCACTTGCTTGGGCTCCCTCTGCCCTTGCTGGTGGCAGCCAAGTATCTGAGGAAGAAGCAGAGCCACACATTAGGAAGGTTGAGAACCACTGTTCTAAGGCCTGCTGCCTGGGTACCATACCTTTCCCAAGTACAAGCACAGTCCTGGGATAGATAAATACCCTCGGGTCATTTCTTCACTGCCAGGAGGAGTCAGGGGCCTCACCCCACCCCCACCCCCACCCTCCCCCAGTCAAGGTTGATTTCCTCCGAGAGGAATTGGCCACTGATACACATCACCAACTGGGAAATACTTGGTCCCATGGCTGCCGAGGTCACAGTCATACAATGCTGTGGAAAGTGGTGCCTGATGGTGGAGAAAGAATGGGATAAATTGTCTCATTGGCCGAAAGGTTCCCTGGCTCAGGTGCTGCGGACAAGAGGTAACACTAGAGAAGCAAGATGAGGGGTGACACCTCAGTCATGTGGCCTGAGGAACGCCATGTCTTCTCTTGGGATTTTGTTTCACTTTTTTTGAGGCTGCTTCCCATAGGCCAGGATGACAGGGAACTTTTGTCTCCACCTCTTGGGTGCTTTGATTACAGATGTGAGCCACCACATTTGGTGGAGGAAGGACTGGGAACTAAACCCAGCATGCAAGGCAAGCATTCTACCCGACTGAGATACACCGCTAATCCCTTCTTCTCTGGGATTATGAGAAGAGGGGGCTGCTGTGCCTCACATGCCCTGACCCTCCTAACTCCTCAAATGAAGCACCTGTGGGTACAGATACCATCCACAGGCATTAGAAACAGACCCCCACTCTGTGGAGAAAGCATGGATTTTTGCAGCATCTCTTCCCAGGTTAACTCTGGTATTTTTATTCTCCTCACAATAACCTTTGAAAGGACACCTGCAAACTGCAGCGTTGGCCCTTCTGTGGAGAGAGGGCCTCTGCTCTGTGGGGCGTCACCATTAGCATTTGCGAGGTGACCTGCGCTGCGCATGCCCACAGCAGATTTAACACAGGCTCCAGGGAAGACTGAATGGCAAGAGAAGGCCAAGAGCACCCGTCGGATGGAGAACACTGTGCACCCTGGGACTCCACGCCTCCAGAGCCCCTTAGCCAGGCAGGTGGTGACTCACTAGGCAGCTTCTCCAGGCTTATTGATGATCACTGCTGTGGCTCATCAGGTGACCTTCACAAGCTCTACTTGGAGGCTTTGTCCAAGAACCAAGGGGGAGGAAGCTGACTTTCTAAAACTATATTTTATCTTTAATTGATGAATAGTCATTGTATATACTTAACGGATACAGCGTGACATTCAGTGCACAGAGACCGCAGAGATGACTGGCATATCCATATCCCAGACACCTTCTATAGAAAGTCACTCTGTAGTAATGAACTGCTGTCAATCCCAGCTATCCTACCATGGTATAGAAGAGTAGAAGCTATCCCTCCTATTCAACTGCACCTGTTTCCTACTTCCCTTCTATTTCCTACTCTCCCCAGGCCCATGTAACCAGCTTTCCTCTCTTTGAAATTAACTGTTTAGCTGCCATAAATATAGAAGTATACATGTACATCCTCTGAGGTCCATTGTAGCTAGACACTAAAAGGCAGGGGGCAGGGACATGGTTAGGAAATCCAGATCTAGGGCTCCCAGGGTGAAGCATTTATCATGTAAGTGTGAGGGCTGGATTTAGATCCCTAGCATCCATGTAAATGCTGGGGCAGGCACGGTGGCTTGCCTGTATCCCCAGAACACCGGAGGTTGAGACAGGGGATTCCTAGAGCGAGTTGGCTAGCCTGAATGGCTAAATTGTTGAGCTCTAGGTTCAAGTAAGAGACCCTGCCCCAATATAGAAGGTGGATAATGAGGAAGACATCTGACATCAGCTTTCAGTCTCCACACGGGGACACACACACATTCACATGCATCTGCACACACACACCAGAACGCACACGCATGCACACAGGCACTCATGAGTGTGCGCACCCGCACCCACACCCTACCTACTTACATGAAAAAAAGAAGTCAGAGCCCATCCCCATCCTCCATTTCAGACACCCTTGGGACTCCTGTACAGATGATGTCGATATGTTCTTGTAATGTTGAGGGAACGGGGAGGGGATCTGGGATAATTGGAAGGGTGGAGGTGCAGTCATGAGTTCTCAGAGAAAAGGCATACCGGGTGCCATCTGCCCTAAGAGCACTGCACTGTTGTCATTTCTCACGTCAGTCCCAGGTGACTGACTGGCAAGCAGCTGCTCAGATGTCTGTGCTGAGAATGGCAAGGCTGACTGTGAGTGAGCCCAGACAGAAGGAGAACTCCGCTCAATTCCTAGAATGCTGTGACAAATTAGCACAATCATGGTGCCACAAAAGTGACAGACGTATTTTCTCACGGTTTTGTGTAGACAAGAAGCCCGAGATCAACATGTTTGCAGGATCACGCTGCCTACACAAGCTCCAACGGAGGGATTTTCCTTGCTTCTCCTCCTAGCTTCTGGCTCCATCGCTCCCATTCCTGCCTCTGTCTCCACACAGCCTCCTCCTTTTGTTGTCTCCGTGTGTGCAACCCTTTCTCCCTTCTCTCAGGAAGACTTCAGTCAATAGAGTTAACCAAGGATGATTTCATCTTGAGATCCTTAACTAATTGGCACCCACGAAAACTCGACTTCTAAATAAGCATGCTCTGACGCTGACATTGAGGAGCCCCTATTCAACCCAGTTCGAGGGCTATAATGGTTGAGCAATCTTGACAAAGGTACAGGTATTTGAAATATTAGGGCCCATAATTTTCCCCTGTTGTGGTCATAGCTTTGTAGATGGAGGAACTGGGATCCAGACAATAAAAAGTCTTTCCCAGAACCACAACATAAGGGCAATGCAGGAAATAAGAAAAAAAAGGAAGAGGACATACAGGCGGGGGAAGATACAGGGGAGATGGGAAAGGATGGGGATGAATTTGCAGTTCATGTGGGACCGAGAAGGGCATCTTTGCATTTTGAAGCCACTATCTATATAAGATCTGCATGGAGTATGAAAACCATAACTAGTCAGCCTAGGAGATGGCTCAGCAGTAAATCCTTTGCCTCAATGAGCCAGAGGACCTGAGTTCAATCCCCAGGACCCATGTAAAAATGCCGGGTGTGGTGGTATGCATCTGTGATCTGAGAGCTAGCCATGGTCACTGGCCAGCTATCCTAGCCTGCTTGGTGAAATTTCAGGCTGATGAGAGACTTTGTCTCAAACAGAAAGCAGACAATACTTGAGGAATGGCATTCAAGGCTGCCGTGCCCTCTGATCTCTGCATAGCTATTACATGTACATGTGCACCACACACACACACACACACACACACACACACACACACCACACCAAGCCAACTACAGAGAAAACACAAGAACATCAGAAGAATGTGGTGTTGTGGATATCAACCTGCAGAACACTGCCTATTTTTGGCTAAAGAAATGAAAGCTCCTCTCACTGTGCAAAAGCCTTCTCAGACTGGTCCCTGAAACCATTGTGCGTAGATGCCTGCTGGTTGCCATGGTGAATGATGCTGATCTGAAGAAATGAATAATGTGAGCACCGGGGGCGACGGTGGCATTACTCAGTGGTGAGAGAGACATCCAGGAGAGCCTAGTGCGGAGGAGGGAGAAGCACATCAACTCGGATTTGGTCCATTCTCAGAGGAAGAAGTCTAACCATAAATACTGCCAGCATCAGGTAAGAGACATGAATGGCTGTCTTGAAAATGAAAATGGCTTTTCCTTCCACACTGCTTGGAGAAGGGCCAGGATGTGGGAACTGAATAGCTAAAACAAGGAAGAGTTTTAAAACCTAAGGCAGGAAGAAAAATAAATATGTGTAGTGGTGGGGGATGGGTTTATCTCTGGAAGCTGAAGATGCTGCTGGCATCCTCAGTAGAAGCTCCTAAAAATGCCTGCTGCAGGGAACCCAGGCTATAACACAGCCAGCAGCAGAGAGGAGGCAAACAGAAGGAAAGGCGTATGTGAGGATGGGATTCCCAATTACTCCGATGGGAGGGGTTTACAGAGAACGGTGCCGTGTATTTATAGGATATAATTCTGTTCCATTTATGGCAGTTGGAAGTGTGTTTGCTGGATGTAGGGGTCCCTGGGTGGGGAGATGAACATGTATGACGAGACCAAGGAGGGAAAGTAAATCAGTCTCCTTCCTGACAGTCATCTCTGGAAGGATCTGCACACCTGTCTCATCTTTGTCGTTTTCCATTTACTGGGCAGAAATTCTTAGCCTCTTCCTAAACATTTCACTGTCTTTAGGGAAGAAAGTCAAAGATTGAAAAACTACTTCACACTGTTACATTTTTCCACGGATCACCTACCCTAACAACACAAGCATAGAAACAGAAATCAGTTTGGCTTAGTATTTACTTTGGGCTACGGGCTGTCCGACTGTTTTTTACGGTATCATTTCAACCAGCAATGCAATCTGCACTTCTAGCTTGAGAGGAGGAATGCAGAACAAGGCATGGAGAGATGGTCACTGGAACATATGAAGGCTGACTACTGTTGTCTCTAGATTTTTGATCAGGGGGAATTCTCAGAATAAAAGAAAAACCAAAAACCTTGATGTCTCTGTTACCGGAGCAACAAGGCTGGCAAGCTGAACAGGGCTCATCTGACATGTTGGCACTTCATCTGGCAGTAACATTCTATTTCTAAACCCAGTGGCTTTGCAGAGAAACACAGTGCCTAAGTTCTCTCTTTTCCTGTTAGCTGAGATGCCGGTCTGCTCATCACTAAGATGGGAATGGAGTCTATTATTGCGTGAGAAGTCATCTAACAGAGCCTGGAGTCAGCAATGACTTACTTGCTGTGTGAGTGGTTAGACCAGTGGTTCTCAACCTGAGGGTTGTGACCCCTTTGGAGGTCAAAAGACTCTTTCACAGGGGTCACCTAAAACCATTGGAAAATCCAGATATTTATATTACAATTCATAACAGTAGCAAAATTACAGTTACAAAGTAGCAACAAAAATAATTTTATGGTTGGGGGTCACCAAGGCATGAGGAACTGTATTAAAGGGTCGTAGCATCAGGAAGGTTGAGAATCTCTGGGTTAGATAGTCACAAAAGTCATGGTACTGGGACTATTAGAAGTTAAGCTTTCCTGGGAGATGATGACCTTGACCTGAGAAACTAATTTCATGGTACCTTGGACTCTGAGACAAAACAAAACACTACCAGAAGCTGTGAGTTTGGAGGCAGCAGGAGGATGTCACAGTGAATCTCCACTAGCCATGGGAAACATACTCAGAGTCTAAAAAATCCAAAAAACCAAAAAACCCAAACCAGTCACGTGGCAGAATGTTCTAGGTAATGGCTCACAGCACTCACAGCAGAGTCAGGGTCAGGAAGCGGCTGATCTGAGAATTGTAAGGTAGGCCCTCTGAGATCCTCCTGATCTCTCTGCACGTTGCCTGTGCTTATAAGGGTCGGCATCAGTGTTGTAAGTAATGATTTCGGCCAGCACTAGTGTGGCTGGGACCATATGGATGCATCCTAGTCAGGCCTGACAGCGGCGACAAGCTTTGTCATGAGCCAGCCCTCACAGCCACTTGTATCCTACGACTTGTTAGCTGGCTCACATAGTAACCTCTGGGCCTCCGTAGTTTGGTCTGTATGATGCAGTTCGTGTTTGTGGCCATCTGAAATGTTCAGTCTGCAGTGACTAGATTGTGTTAAATAAACACTGACAGGGGGGAATGTCACTCTTCACTGTGATTTGGTTCCAGAACCGGGATGAACATTGAGGTTGGGAACGTGTCTTACACGGGAGCCATCATCTCCTGGTCGTCCTCAGAGCCCTGCCTGGAGGACTATTACCATATTATGTACAGGCCCAACTGGAACAGTATCTTCTCCGGCTATCTGCGCTACAGCTTCCACCACGAGGAGAAGGTGCCTCGAACCATCACCTCCGTGGCGTTGGAACACCTCGCCCCTTCTACTCTCTACTTCCTCTGTGTCAGCTGCAAGAAGGCTGCCTTCCCATACAGTCACTATTGCACCATGTTCCACACCCTGGATAAGAGTCCACTGGCTGCGGGGGGCTCCCTGGTGGACCCCCAAATTTCCCTTTGGGTGCTGATGGCCATCCTGCTGGCATGCTTCACTGCTGTGCTGGCCTTCATCTGCCTCCAGTTCTGGTGCATCCGTTGTCATGAGCCTCGATGGTCTTACAGAGCTGGCCACATGGAGGAGGCCAATGGGTTGGTAAGATGGCCTGAGGAGGCCCCAGCCCTCGGTCAGAGGGAAGAAGACTTGCAAGGGCTCCCCCTGGTGGAACTGCCGCGCAAGAACTCTGGGGCCAGAGCAGAAGCTGAACCAGAAGCGGAAGCCAACCAGGATGCCTTGGATGTGGTGGCCTTTGCAAGAGCGGGTGGTGACCAACCAGCCAGACGGCCTTACTATAGAGAGTGAGCAATGGGGAGGAGACGGCCCATTTCACACAGCCCCAATTGTTCTCTGTAGTGTGTCCTATGTGAAAATCTGCCTGTAGGCCACCCGCTTCTCTCCTCTCAAATGTCAGTGTTGTCTGGATGCCAAATGACAACGCTCCCCACGCTGGAAAACACAGACCCTCAAGGTACGTCAAGGGTGAACAAGGCATTGCTTTAGTTAAGAACTGCAGGCCTTGTTTCAATACCAAAATCTGCCATGGCTGTATCAGAGAGAGGGAAAGTACCTGGACCTGAGTCTGACACACTAGAAGAAATGTGGAGTCAGACGTGGACCCTGAGCCTTGCTTTCAGTCATTCCTTCTAAAAGGACGAAAACCCTGTTCTAACTTTCAGGCAATCGCATACCACATCCTGCACCTCCAGGTTCATTTTTTTTAGAGCTACAGACTGGCTTATCACTATTTATCATTAGCAGCTAACACCTAAATTGACCTCAGCTTTAAAACATAGACTCTTAGAAGATAGCTTTGTATTAACTCATAAACAAAAATCCAGGACCCTGTTGCTATAAACAGAAGGGAACATGTGTAAGAGTAAATGCGACTACTTCTGCCTGCCGATGCCTCTGGGCTTAAGGTCATCTCTCTCATGTCTGATCAAAAGGGAGGCAAGCATCAACACTAACATAAATGCCGGCCCTTTATATATCGTAAGGTTTAGAAGAGAACTGGCAAGGGAAGCATGTTTTTTGGTTTGTGAACCATGTGTGTGAGCCACCTCAAATGATGTCAGCCCTCCCCCTTTGGTGTGCCTGAGGGTACAATCTCACTACACAGCCTTGGCTGACTGAACTTGCCATGTAGACCAGGCTGTGCTGGAACTCACAGCAGTCCTACTGCCTCGGCCTCTCGAGCGCTAGGACAGGTAGATGAGTGCTACCACACCTGGGTTACAAGTTTCTCTTGGTTTGAAAGAATTACCTTAAACAGTTTGACTCCTCTGGAGAAGACCCCTGTCCCCCCATGTCTCCTCCTCACACCCCGAGTGCTGCATTCAGCACTTCCTGGGTTAACCACGCTCCTAAATCTGAAGATCTCTAGACCTCTTTCTTTGGTAGGAGACATGTTCCACTCTTAGAGTGGCTTTCCTTATTCCTCCCATATGAGTCCCTATTATAATTAAAACCTATACATATTGCAGCACTGGTGGAACTTGGTGAAAACTATTCCTTACCACACACGTGGACATGAAATTATAGGTAGTTGTAGATTATGTCTCTTCACCCTTGATGTAGACTGATAATACAGACTCTAACCCATGTCTGGCCTATAAGGGGTATATAGTAAATGTCATTGAATGAATGGGCAGATGGACTGGAGACTTCAAAAGGACCCTGTGGGGTAATTACTTGGAATGAGGATGTGCGCATGTGAACAAAAGCCACACGAGGCAGAGGAGGCCTTCCTCTCAGAGGTTGCCCCAGCTATCTACAAGGGCCTTCAAGCTCTGTCTGCAAACCCAGAATCCCAGAATCGCCAGAGTATGTCCTGATGAATCAACCAAGATCTGGGAGGATCTGAGAAGCAGCAAGGAGAATCCTCCTACACCCCATTTACCCCCAACATCAGCATAGTACTCACCCCTCACCTCAGCTCCCACCCAGCTCCCCAACCCCCCAGAGCCTTGTTTACTCCACCCCTGCTAGCTGTGAACCAATAAAGATGGACGCACTTGCCGTGGTTTCTGCCTGGCTCTCAATGAATCCCCTGAACAACACAGCGTTCGGTGGCTTTTCCGATTCTGGGACCAACTTTCTATTTCTTTTCCCCCACTCTGTCTGTCACAGGTGGGATGGGACATGACTAATTACCTTGGATCCATAGAGGTAATAAGGCTGCACATTGGCAGGTTTGTCTCGTTGTGGTTCTTGAGTGAAAGGGATGGCAGTTCGCACAAAACTAGAAGAAACGAGACAGCAAAGCAGTTAAATGAGTCTCAGTAACGTCCTTCAAGGGACAGGAGAGTGCAGTAGCCCCTCCCCACCGACACCACAGCACGTCCTAGATGGCTGCCTACAGAGGAGCTGCACTCTTCTGATACCCGCCCCCTTTGATTACTGTGTACTTTCCTAGTCTTCTTAAAAATGGGGCAACTTGGAGCCCAGGAGGCACAAGAGTCAGGGTATAGTAGGTCTGAAGATGGCCTTCTCTGGGGCTCCAGTTTGGTTTAAAAGATTAATCAGTAAACTCCTTCTCTAAGGGGCCAAGCAGAAAATTCTTTAGCTTTGCTGGCCAGATGTCTCGGCAACAAGGACTCGGCTCTGCCCCTGAGTAGGGAAACACCGTAAGCAACAGCACCCCAGTGAACACGTCTACATTCCAGCAGAGTTGTGACTTAAATCATCTTCATGTCAAGACTTCCCCTCTTTGGATTTTCCCCTGATTACCCACTCAAGATGGCAACACTGGGCTGGGGAGCCGGCTCAGCCGTTAGGCACTTGCCATATCAGCATGAGGACCAAAGCTCCTAGATCCCATGGAAAAATACTCGGTGGGGAAAGTTGCTCCCCTATAGTTCTAGCCTCGGAAGGTACAAGGTGAACTCAGAGGAAGGTTGCTAGGCAACCCAGCTGAACAAGAAAGCTAGGGGTTGATTGAGAGAGCCTGCCTCAAAGAACAAGATGGAAAGGGGGATGACTCCTGTCATCAACCTGGGGCTTCCGTGTAGGTGTGCTCATGCGTATGCACGTATACCTACATACTTGTGTGCCCACACATATTCAGGCATACATACATGTACACAGCAGCTGACACACCCAAAAATGGGGTTAGGGGTGGTGGTGCAACAAAGCACCCCCAAAACAGAGATGGCAACACCATTCTTGGAACTTGGGCTGTTCATAGCCAGTGTCAGTTCATGCACTGTTGTCATGGCTGGTGACAAGATGGGATATATAGTTTGTAGCTCTGACTCAAATGTGCTATAAAGTCAAGCCTTTATAAAGCTGGCATGTCTTGCTCAATGCGCAGATTCAGGGACACCTGTATATTCAGTCTTCCCATGTCCTTCCACTCATTCAATGTGGATTAGTACACAGCACCCCATCCGGACTCCAGGGGTTCAAAGACTTCACCCTACACACATTTCCACCCATCCTTTTGTTCTCTTCTCCTTGGCGGCAGGGAAACGATCCGGATGAGGTGAGAGTTGAAACTTGGGTCTGGCTGGACTTTAGTTAGCCAGCACTGGGCCAAAACTCCTGAAATCTGACACCAGGTGGTTTACTTTTTACACAGTAAGACTTTGGGGGAATGTTTCCTTGTGACAATTATCATGACAAATCTTTAGGCACAGCTACATCGAGACTCCTAGTACAAGTCTTTAGGAAAGCACCTGTGACTTTCCCCACAAGAAAAGGGTCTATTGACTGAGGAACAGTGCTCAGAATAAGGGCCCAGGGGGGAACAGTTTGTAATGAGCATAAGGATGGATTATTGTATTGACATAGGCTGCACAGTACATGGGACCTCTTTCATAAGGATGGGCTCTATTGACTGAGGAACAGTACTCAGGAGCTAGGGAGGGACAGTTTGTAATAAGCTCAACAGCAAACTCTTTTGCAAGTACAGGGGACCTCTGTCATGAGGAGGAGTTCTATTGATTAAAAAACAACGCTCAGAATTCTGGGGGATTTGACAAGGGCTGGCTTTATAGACTCGCAAAGATTGCCAGGAATTAACACTTGTGTTCCCAGCCTTCTGGATGGCAAACAGGTGCCAATTTCTTCCACTGAAGCAAAAAGCCTGCATGTTAGCAATTCTGGCTTTCTGGTGCTCATCTGTGAGCCTGTGTCCTCTACAGGCCTCCTTCATCCTCTATTCACCTCCAACTCCATTATTGTTGCCTTTATCCCTGCTTTAGTTGTGTGGCCCACAACAGACTTCCGCTGTTTGCCTTCCTTATTCCTGCCAACATTTTACAACTCACCTCCTGCATCACTTTCTTGGAGGAGAAAGTCCACACTGAGATTTATTTCATTCCTGGATGGGGCCAAGTGGTATCTGGTAGCTCACCATGGCATTGTTATATCCAATAAGAGTCTATACCCAGGAGCGGCTCCAGATAAACACTTGTCACAGGAATGAACAGAAGTGCTGCCCCCACCCCATTTGGAGGCAATTGACCATAATCTCTTTTCCTGCCCTGCTTAATGGCCTCTGCACTGGGGGGTTCCCTTACCGGTTTGTGGATCCATTATAGCAGTAGTTGGGGAGGAAGTCAAAGTTCAGCTCCCAGAAGACATGCAGGGTGATGCGGCCATAAGGGGCAGACACATTATGATTGGCTTCCCGGAACATGGCATCGAAGCTGTCTAGAGTCATGTGCTTACAGAGGAGTCGGTGCGTGAGCCGGTTAATCTCCAGCAGCCACTCTAGCTCCTGACAGAGAGAGAACCCGAGGCTGCTAAAGTGTTTCAGGTAAGTTCTACAACTTGTCAATCACTATTATCTGAAAGAATCAAAGTCCAGATAGAGAGAAGAAAACTCAAGTTCTGGGGCACCTGAGGCCACTCTGGTCATGCTTTGGCAAAGCCAGCTATGTTACAGAGGGGAGAACCAGAGGCTGAGAAGGTCAATGACATGCCCAAGGTCACGCAAGGACTATAAAAACATGCCTTGCATGACCTTCAGTCCTTATAGTCTAAAACCACATTGGGATGGCATGGACCAGCTTTCCAGTGAGCTCAGTGAGTCACTGGCCACCAAGACCTTGCTCCCTTCTCATCAGCCACGGTCCCCCCAAGCCCTCCGACCTGGCAAGTCCACTTTGGTAGTGTCAACCTCAGCCCACACTTCTGACATTGCAGCTTGTCCTCTGGAACTCGGGCTGTAAAGTGGGGATGCAGATAAAAACTGCAAACATTTACTGCAATGGGGCCAGGCAGGCCAAGAATGGGAGACTGGCAGGGGTGCAAAAGACAGTATTGGAGGATGGGATATCTGTGGCAGAGTGGACAGTCCCATCATACAGGGCCGGGCCTGTTGCTTTGACACTATCTGGTTCTTGCCATGTGACAATGGGCTAGGGAAGGCAGACCCTAAGTGTTCCCAAAGAATGTGAAAACTTAGATTTCAACCATGGAGTGGTCTCTGTACCAAGAAGAAAATGAAGGACAGAGAACAGACTCAGCTCTCTGTTTCAGTTTCTTGGGCTTAGCTGGTTCCTGCATCTCTATTCCCATTTGCTGAGGATGGTGATGTGGTAAACAGCAGTTAATGGTACCTGCTGATGACTTCATTTCTAAGATCACCAAACCCTTTTAGCACTCTGTTTGGGGGAAGATAATGAGATCTGGGGAACAAGCTTGTTCTATCATTTTTTAAGATTTTATGTTTCAGAAACTTATGTTAGTGTTAAAAGGGTGGACAGGAGGAGACAGTATTCAACTCTGCTATTGCTGGGATTGTGACACAAAAGCAGAATGGGAAAATAAGACAGCCAAATGGGTAATTTTGAAGAACCAGTGGCCAGAGAGTAGAGAAGGAGGGGCTAGCCACACCAGAACAGTCATAACTCTGAGAGGTCAGAGAGATGCCAGTAGGTATCTGGGAATTTAACACATTGGGGGCTGGCAGGCCTGTGGGGCTGCCTGCAAGTTCAGGAGAGCTGGGCCTGCTTAAGTCTCCTAGCTCAATAGTCAGAGCCGGGAGGTGGCTGTCATCTGGGGATGCTAGTCTGGTGCTCTCAGAGCTCCTGGAATCTTACTTGAATGCTTCCAAAGGTTACATGTTGACTCAAGATTTCAAGTACATGGTAGCCAAAAGAAAGCATAGCCCACGGTCTGCCAGTCTTTAGCTTCAGCATCTTGCTTAGGTTCCCTGCTCAGCAAGCTTGCACAGTGTGATGACTGAGTCCCCAAGTCACTACAGGGCCTATCTTTTCACATGCAGTGGCCTCCACATTTTACAACAGTTTTGAAGGTGCCAGGGCACAGTCCTTGGTTTGTTTCTGCCATTGTGTGGAGGCAGAAGATGCTCAGCCAAGGCCCACAGGAATCATGCCTACCTCCAAGGAGAATAGCACCTCCCCAGGGGGTCCTCTCTAATCCTCACAGGGAAGAGGATGTTCTGGGTGGGGATCAGGGCCGCATCTGATTAACAAGGCCTTTCACTGCGTGTTTTTCATTTTGTTCTAGCCAAGAGAACACTCAGTGTCTTCCAGTGAGTGGGAAGTGGCCATGGACACCTGGCCCCCAGACATTAGTGGAAAACTAGTGAGTTGAACAAAAGAGAAGAAACTCCAACTCCCACCTCTTGAGAGATAAACACCGAGGACATTTTAACATGTACAAAACAAAACTGAATCTCCCAAGCCAGAGGCGGCTAAGTGATCTCAGGAATGTGAACTATTCTACAGTTTTTCATAAGTGACTCAAGACTCAGGTGAGTAATTGGTGCACGCCCTCTGTAGAGATGTGTAGATATTCCCTCCTCCCCTGACCCCCCAGAGAACACTGCAGCCCCACAGTTCTTTTTCTCTTAAAGAAAAAAAGAGGCATTATTTATTTATTTATTTTTGGTTTTACGAGACAGGGTTTCTCTGTATTGTTTTGGAGGCTGTCCAGCCTAGCCTCGAACTTAGAGATCCGCCTGCCTCTGCCTCCCGAGTGCTGGGATTAAAGGCCTGTGCTTATTAAGTGTTTATCAAGTACTAAGACCCATTCCAAATTCTTTC